TCCCACTCCCAGCCTCCGTTTGCTCTGTGACGGTGACGTGCGGCCCAGCCCTGAACAGAAGCTCCCGGTCCTTGTGTTTGTACTTTCCCATCCTAGGACTTGTCTCCGGCCACTGCCTTCTGGTTTGGACCTCTTCATCAAGATCAGTACTCCACCCCCTCCCTCAGCCTTACCTAATCACAGCTCAGGGGTCCTTTTCCTTCAGCCCCGTTCAGGTGTTCTACACACAGACAGAGGAGACCTAAGAAGAGCGGAGCCTGGGGGCAGGGGGATCAGGCAGAAATGGCTTTCAGTTGTACAACAGGGATCCCTTCTCCCTTCACAGCCTGTCTCCATCCCCTGTGCTTCTGGGACCTCACTGTAGGTGGCACTTCCTGTGAATGCGTGACGTGCAGAGACAGAGACTCAGCGACAGGACCGTCCACAGCCACAGGGGCTGGTGCAGAGAATCAGAACTCACACCTCCGGACGCTCATCGCGTTCTGCTGGGAATGTGAAGTGGGGCAGCGGCTGTGGACGGCAGTCGGGTAGTTCTAAATCAAACGTAGACTTGCCAGAAGACCCAGAGATTTCACTCTTAAGGATATGCCTACGGTGTGAAAACGTAGGTCGACACTGAAATGTCTACATGAGAGTTTATGTCAGCCTTACTCACAAGGCTTCACAAGACCCAAAGTAATGCACACATGAACGGATTTTTTTTAGTATATCATACAAAGAAACACTATTTAGACCTCTAAAGCAAAGAAGCACCAATTTATACTCCAAGATGAATGAACCTTGAGGATATTATGCTTAGTGAAAGGAGTCTGATACAGAAGGGTGCATACTCTGTGATTCCAGTTACAGTAAATATCCAGATTAAATAAACCCACAGAGACAGGAAGCAGATTAGTGGTTTCCAGAGACTCGGGGAGAAAGGAGAAATATGGAAGGATTTTCTTTCGGGAGTGAGAAAATGGCTCTGGAATCAGATCATGGTAGTTGTTGCACAGCCCAATCAGTGTACAAAACACTAGTGACTTGCACATTTTTAAGTGGTGAACCTATAGTACAGAAGTCCCTGGGGACCTACGGGGGACTGGATCAAGGACACCCCAGGATTCCCAAGTCCACGAGTGCTCAAGGGCCTTGTATAAAATGCCCTAAGGCCTATGTAC